GTTTTTGTAGTATATACTGTTTGTGAGAGGAGCAACCTTTATATGGGACCATAGCGTCATCTATGGCACACTGAAAGTGAGGGTGGTACAGTTCTTGAAATCTCTCCTATTATTGTGAGGAATGGGCGGAGACTATTGTTACTCATAATAAATGTAACTACAGATTTGCAAATCCCTTGCCACGACAGGCCCGGCCACGCCTCTATTTACCCGTCTACAGTTGCATAGCAACTATTTGAAAAGCCTCAAGTACAAAATGACCTCCATTGATCGTTCTAAAGCTACAGCTTACAGTGAAGATCTCCAATGAAAAATGATTTATCAAAAGGAAGGACTGTGTTTGTTATATGCGAATGTGGCCAAAAATTTACTGCTAGATATTTTTACAGTTAAAAGAACAGTAAAACTGTGGCAGAGCACAGGAGGAGTTAAAAAGATACCTTATTCTATTTAATAGTCATCAAGAATAATAACCAATATACTGCAGTTTTTTATATTAGACCTTGTTCTTTCAAAACAGAGTATTTACTTACATACAATACAAAAAGAGGCTTGTGAAGAATTTTGCATCAGTTTGGATTGTTCCTATATTTGTAGAATGCTACATAAGTCAGGTTTTACTCATCAAAATCTGTAAATAACGGCATTGCAGTGTAATGAAGACCTGAAGTGTTGATTCTGCATTGAAGTGTCACTTTACAAGAAAGATATGCTAGTTTTTGTTGACAAAACAGGTTTGATCAGAGAAATCTTATTAGAAAAAGAGGATATAAAGATATGCTAGTTTTTGTTGACGAAAAAGGTTTGATCGGAAAAATATTATTAGAAAAAGAGGATATAGTCTGAACGGAAAACCAGGCATTTCGAAACAATTGATAGTATGAGGAGAGTATGTTTCTATCATTGCAGCCATATCATCAAAAGGACTCCTTGACCAAATACACAGAGGTGGTAGTGTTGATAGTGATATTTTTTGTGATTTTGTGACCGAACAATTACTACATCATCTTTATTGGCAGTAATCCACACTCAGTGGTGGTCCTTGACAACTGCAGTATCCATCATACAAATGATTCTATTACAGCATTACAAGAATGTGGTGCCTTAGTTCACTACCTACCAAAATATTCACCAGACTATAACCCAATTGAAAGTATTTTTTCAAGGGTGAAAATGTAATTAAACAAGTAGAATCATTTGACATGTCTACAGACATTAATGAATGAATTCTCAAAGCTTGTTCTATGATTACACCTAGTTATTGTTTTACGTCAATGATCAGTAATGGTATTTACAATGAATAACTATGATTGTAATGTGGTTAAAGTGCACTAAAGTCAATTCCTAATAATTACTGCAATAAAGACAGTATAATTGCTTTCTGCTGTTCATATTCATTGTTATTCAAAATTTTTTCTCTGAAAGAGACTAATTCAAGTAGCTGAGAAAAATACTTCCCACGTGTGTCAGCTACCTTGCAAGGTGATAGGCATTCTTGAACTGTGGAAGATCAGGTGGTTTAATCAGGCTCTCATGTAAACTATCAATATAAACTCTAGCCCAAAGACGAAGAAGAGGTACAGAAAATGTTTCACTATGATTTTTCTGAAGCTTCTTAAATGTGTCATCTACCTTCTAGTCATGTCTTCCAGCAGATGTTTTAGCCTTTTTTGTAATAGGCTCAGCAGACTGCTCTTCAACATGTGCCTTACCATCACACCACAGAATTAGATTTTGTACATTTCAAATCATGATGAGTTAAGAGCCAACACTTAGTATTACTGTCAAAATAGCCAACATCAAAGGAATGATTGCTTAGCACCTTGTCTGCGTATTTATTGGATATGTAATCCTCGATAGTTTTGATTGATTAGAACTGAGAATAAAAATCTTCAATAACGACAATGATGACTTTCTTTTTACTTTTGGAGTTAATAATTTTCAACTTGCAACTGCACTGTCCAGTGGGATCTCCCTCCAGTAAAAAAAAACACTAATAATAATGTCCACTGCATGTAAGCAACACTATAAAACTATACCCATTACTTATACTGCTAGGCCTAAGGGTGTGGCATGCATATCCAGCATTGGGTAATTTTATCTAATTTGTCTTATTTCTTCATTATTTTTGCAAAAGTAATTTTTGAATTTTATCAAAAAACAATTATAGGCAACTCTTTTAGAGGCCACCAATAACAACGTACTACAGGAGTGCCCCACAGATCCACCCTAAATTACATAATACTCCCTCAAATCTTGGCCTACTGGCTGCTGCCTTGGTTGATGGCTAGCAAAACCTGTCTGTGGGCCACTTGTCGGACTACTCACTAATGATGGTGGGGCGGCAGCTGATATAGTAACCGTTGGCGCAACCGTAACAGGTAAAACTGTAGTAGTACTGGGTGGTGAACTAGAAGTATTATAAACAGAGTTACCAAATACCCTATTGGCAATACTGGCTGGAGGCCAACCCGAACAGCTCTGTTGCGGCAATTGTAGTAGCTGTAGTGTCACACTAGGATTGGCCATTTTATGAGTCACACATTGGTCACACACATTATAGTCATGTAATCTGCTTCAGGTAGTGGCAAGAATTGTGCAAAAGGCTGTATTTAGATGAAGGATGGAAACAGAGTAAGTGGGACACAAAGAGGACTGTCCATTTTAAGGCTGTTTTGATTCCATTCTGGGCACCTGAGCAGCAACAGAGCCACCAGTACTCATTGATAGTAGTGAGTCTGCTATCATCATCAACATTGAGAAGCCAGTGACACCAATAATGAAGGGAAGACTGCTTCGCTCTATACATATTAGGCTATTTATTTCATTTGATTTAAGTTACAGTACAGAACAGTTGCTTTGCAGGACGTACAGTGGAATAATCTCCAGAACTACTCATTATTTCAGGGGAAAATATAGAGCCTCACAATGCAGTTGTGGCTGCTCAACCAGAGGGTGCTTCAGTAGTCACAGAATTGCATGCACCTAAAAAAGCTATTCAATAATAATTATTATTCTCAATAAAAATTACTCATTATAAATATTTTAGGACACACTACAAAGAGACAGAAATCAGGAAAGGCCCATGGTAGAAATGTTGATCTCAATAGAAATAAGGCAGATGAGACAAAAGATAAGCTATTGAAAATTTACGACGAAATGGAAGAAACAAGAGAGAGAGAGGGAACATGAACTGAATATCACAAAATTGTTTATGTCGATGATGGAACGAATGGCACCACCGCAGCTACAGCCGTACCAATCGTATGACTATAGCCATATATATTACCTGCCAAATCCAAAATACCCATCATAGTTAGCACTGTATTATATTATAGCAACAATAATACTATTATAATTGTAATAATTACTTTCCCCATAAACAGTCCATTTTCCTAACATTATTGCTTGTCTAGCTAGCCATAATTTTAGTGCCTAGCTGTAAACTGTTCTAGACCAGGTAGTCTCACTTCTCTCCAGCTTTTTCTCTTGTCACCTCTCTCTAGCCATTACTTTTCTAAATAATGCCTTTATGACACGTAGTGCATTTTAACACATCACTTTTTGACAGAGAAAGAATAGTACATGATAGTTTTTTGTATATCCCTGGGTATAAGACTATTTTGTTCTAGCTATACAGATAATAATATAAATGTAAGGAATAATTATTGTTGAATGATTTACTGCTTTTTTAAGTGAATCATTAGTGCATGTCTTATGGATTGTGCTCTTGATTGTGTTGCTGTAGTGCTAGAGTTTAGTTAAAGGCTACTGGCTTGAGTTGGTGGTATTGTATCGCTGGTATCGCTGTCTAACCAATCCTCTTGACAATTGTCGCCAAACATTTTGCAAATATTGTGAAGAGTCACACAAGTGGCCACAATGGCTGTTACATTTGTCAGATGGTAAGGCTTTGCGGTATTAAAAATATAAATATTATAGTATTGTTACTTAAAAATACCCCGGTATTACTAAATATAGTGTCTCGACCCACAATTTTTTTAAATTTTCATCAAAAGAATAATTAATAACAAAAGAAGTATTATTTCAAGTTTTTTGAAAGAAAAACCAACATTTCAACTTTGTCAGGTTTTAGTGAAGACCTTGACGGAGTAACAATTCTGCCTGATCTACTAAATAGTCTTTCAGATACTGTACTAGTTGCTGGTACACACAAGTATTTCATAGCAACTGTCACCAACAAAGGATACTGCTCTCTACCGATCATCTTCAACATTTAGTCTAATTTCATCACTCTACTTTAAAACTTCAGCTTTTATTTTCAGTTCTGGTGAGATAGTGGGTAGGTCCATTTCATCCTCGTGTACCTTAAATAAACTTCCGAATGTTCTCTTTTTTTACCAGGAGGAACAATGTGTGAAGTTGACTGACTACTAGTGGATGTACAGGTAGAGTCATTCATTGTGATCCCACCTCTATAAACTGTCTCTTTCACTTTTTCTTCATTTTTTATGTACTTTTTCTTGAAATGAGGGACTAAGAATGAACAGATTTCTAAAAGATCAACTACATTTGGGTCATTATTCCATGTCAGTAGATTCAAAAGTATGGCTTGACGTAGCTCATTTGTGAGAGGTTTGTCGTGTGCATTCTCATTTCAAACAGAATTTGTGAGGAGATCGATGACAGGTAATATAGCTGAGCCAGTTACATAAGTTTCATCAGATATCACATCAGTAAACTCATCTAATGGAGACAGTGCTGCAGTGATTGCAGTCAGCACATCTAAATCCTGCCAGCTAAGCACAAGGTTTGAAACCTTTCAATCTGAACCAAGAGCAACTTGAATGGCTTTCTACTGTTCCAATATTCTCTCTATCATTTTCTGCGTAGACCCCCATCTTGTGGAACAGTCCTGTAAAGACAATGGAAGGTAAGTTAATTTAGCCTGTAATGATTAGTAATTTCATTTAGTTACTTACCAAGACCAGTGAATGCTATGGAAGCTTAAAATCAAGTTGACATTTAGTCAAGTCTCGTCATCGTTTCCAGCGTACAGAAAAAGCACTTACAATTTTTTGAGCTATCCCTAGAGCCCTAGAAGACCTGTTATCTTTAGCTATAGCTTTGGTAATGGCAAGGTGAAGGTTGTGTCCAAAGCAAGACAATTGAGTCCATCCCAAATTCTCTGCAGCAAGTTTAATGTTCGCAGCATTATCAGTGGTAATACAAACTTGTTGTGATGATTTGAAGCTCCATTCTTCTAAACTTGCTTCTAACATATCAGAAATGATCTCACCAGTGTGATCTTGGGGAAGGTAGCTATTACAATGTGACAGACATTCTAGTTCCAAATTGTCTGTCACAAACATAATAGTATAGCTAATGAATGGCGTAAGATCAATGCTTAACCATAAGTCAGTGGTACTAGCGAAATATCTTACAGCTGCCACTTGCTCTGCCACTCTTCTTCTAGTGATAGCATAAAGCTCTGGTACTGCTGTACGTGAAAAGTAGCTCTGGTCAGGAATTTCATACCTATTATCAAATATCTTCAACATCTATTTTGTACTGAATACATTGGTAGTTCATCCTTGACTAAAAAACATGTTACAGAATCTGTTAATTCTTTCCATCTTTTATCATAATGACTATATGGCTGACTACGGAGAAATGAAGAACTACTGGTAGGTTGATCCTGTGCTTGAGGATCGGCTCACTGGCACTGGTCCATAGTGGCTTGTGATTGTTGCGTACATGTGCCATGAGATTAGAAGTATTACCGCTTCTGGCCATAACTGCTCTGCTACATAGCCTACAAAATGCTTTACTATCTTCCAAAACTTCTCCATTTTCGTTAGCTTTCAGGCCGAAGTATTGCCAAATGGCACTTTTTGTACCTGGCTTCGGCAGAAGTGTAGCACTTAGTACTTCATCACTAGAAGTTGTAATTGTACTACCAATAGATAGAGGTAAAGTAGGATTGTCATTTACGTCCGTCTCCTCTGCTTCTCCAGAGGCTTCTCCAGAAATGGCAGCCATGTTTCTTTCCTTTACTTTCACGTGGCATTACAAATTATTACATCATGATCATTAAAAGCAATTGGGGCGAGCAAATGCGAGCCCCACATAGTTGAGTCGAGTATGTCTGTTTGTTTGTACACGTACGTCACCTTTCTTTATGCATCTATGAAAATAATCTTTCGATAATTACAGTACCGCATGCAAAGACAATGAGTAAGAGTAAAGCAATTTAACTGGAAGAGAGGAGTTGAAGAGTACTTAAGAATCAAGAGAAGCTGAAGCTTAAAACATGAGTTATTCACAAGAAGATGCTCGTGAAGCTCGTTGACTACTTCTTGGTAATGAGCGTGATCAGAAGAGAAGAAGGAATGAGACTGAGGAGAAAAGAGCGAGAAGATCCAATAGAAATGCTAGAGAGAGGTCTTTTCGCACCCAAAGACAACAAATAGAGCCTCCTTCTGGCTTCTGACACCAACTATTTTTCATCCTAGATCTATATAACTGCAGAGATTCTTCACTCAAAGCTAGAAGCCTTCCATGCAAATTCTGCATTAGTGCATTGACATCAACATTCAATACTTAATAGCCACTACATCATTGTCTATATAGACATTGTATATTACTTATCAAAATGTTAATCGTTTTGCTCGCCCTTTAATGTTTTACATTCGCCTAGTTAATAAATATTACAATAGTGGATACCGTACTCAATATTATACCCTACTCAATAGTTTAATTTTTTGCCATTGTTTCTATATTAGCCTATTCTATGAAGCTGAACAGTCAAATCTTCGTTCCTAACTTCTCTAGAAACAGAACGAAGCAATTCACTCATTGACTTGTCTGCCTTCATGATGTATGAAGCAACATACATCACACAGGCATATGCATTTAGGACATACTGGATGTCCATATTTCCTTCTCATGCCTTCAAGATGGCAGAATTGTAATTATTGATGTTACATTCAGATGGTTCTCTTTTTAATACAATTATGTTACCTCTAGTGGAATAAGTTATTGCCCTACAGTGATCTGTTGGATCAACTTCAGCCAATCTTAGCAAATCAGTAAGACTGACATCAGTTGTTCCATCAACTAAAATTTTATGTACTTTTGTTAATATTTTAGACGCATCATCAGAAGTGTCTTCAGTTGTTGGACTCATAATTAAAGTATTTTTACTCGGAAGATGAGGAAATTTGAACCGACTGTTCTTGTTCCTACGACAATACGAAGAGTGCTTATGCTGCTGTAATAAAAGAACCAGTTCTTTCAATTTTCCTTCTTCATGTGGTATCGAACAAGTTACATACTTATCTATAAAGTCACAAGCTAACTTGTTATTGTCAATTCCAAATGTGTGGGCTTCTTCCACCTAAATGAGGGTACGAGCATGAGGAGACCCCCCTAGATTGGAATTCAGTTCTAATTGAAAAATCAACATCTTTCCTAAAGGTTGTGATGAAGATTTTTAAAAAATCATTAAAAAAGTATGTAGCCTGTATTGAAAGTGACAGGCAGCAGTAACAGGATTACATCTGATCCAATTAAATTTATCATCAAAAGACAGTCTGTTTATATCTTTATCAGTATATGTAACGCCGTGCTGCCTAGCTATAACTGAAATTAAATCAAGCCACTTCATGTCAGCAGCTGTTAGCGTAAGAAACCAAGTTGGAGTGCCTGACTGACGTACCATTGCAAGCAGGTCATAAAAAGTACGCTTATTGTATGCAGGAGATCCCCTGACACTCTTTAAAAATGCATATGCTTTATCATTACGTACATTTTCACTGATCACTGCTCGATTCCGTGCCTCACGAGCTGTGAGGTTACTACTTGGCTTTTGCCGCCTAATGTAATTTCTGGCAGCTCCCTTTATTTGCTTGTTTTCTACTATATACTGAGAAGCAAGTATATATTCTATATCCATAGAAAATCTTCCATCAACATCCAACAGACGTTGCTGGTAGTATTTTCTTAAGACAATTTTACGAGGTCTTTTAGTATTGTAACCTCCACTACCATATGGGAATTTCGTGGGGTTAGACATTTCCCCAAAAAAGGATCTGTCATAATATCAAGAGGGCGTTGTCCTTCAGCAGGAGCAACAAAATAAATTTGGGCTTCTACCTTAGGATCCTGTGACAATAATACGCTTGCCATTGCTGCCCACCTGTTATTTGTCTTAAATGCTCATCTTCTCAAATTGTGGCATCATCAAGTACATCAGGATCAACATCATTGTTAGCATTTGAACTAACTACAGGTGCAAGACTATCAGTACAAGTAGAGCCTACACTGTTACATGTAGTACATACATTTGATGGCTCATTAGCTAAACTATTAATGCTAGAGATGGGATCAAGGCCGACATAGTGAGTTTTACTCATCTGACCTATATGTACAGTATCTATAGTGTTGCCACTATTTGGGGTAACAGTGACAATGTTTGAGCCAAGTATTGTGAATATTTTTATTTCAATATTTAACATAATTTACTTAACCCAAAAATTTTAATATGTTCACACCAAGTTTGACCACTTAAATTTAACAAGTAGTTGTCCCATAACAATGCATTACCAGAGACACTAGTAATATAGTCAGAAAGATGACTGCCATCAGGAGTTGTAGGATTGGCTCTCAAGTAAGCTGCAACTCTTGCTCTTAAATCAGAAGCACATGCACTGCTCGAAAGTTGATGTGCAATGGCATGAAAAAGGCAACTTCCATCTCCTGGCACATTCAAAATAACATAGCCATGCTGCCTGACAAAGCTAGCAAGGTTACTATATGGAGTGTCTACTTCCATAGAAACCTCATTTTGGTTGACTTGTTAATTTCAGATGAAAGCGTATCACTTACTGAAATATTTTCAGCAGGTACACTGCTATTCAGTTCAATGGATTCCATAGGAACCTCATTGTCATCACTTATTTCAAGTGAATGTGTGTTATCTATAATATTATTGTCAATGCTAGGTTCTTGCAACAAACTAGAGAAAATTACATTGTCATCTACAGCTGCATCAGCTACCAAATATTGGCTTATTTCGATATCTTTGTAAAGTGGGTTGTGAATTTTAAGCCAACTTAAAGCATTTAATACTACATCAGGACATACATACCCATGCATGTAATGTCCTTTGTAGCATAACTTTCTTTTAAGTTTCAAGCTATCATTTCACTTTGAGAAGGTAAACGTGGTAGCACATCACAAATATTAACATTACAAAGAACATAGACAGTAGGTCCGTGTATTGACGTTTGCTTACCAGCAGGTAAGGATACCATTTTTATAAAGGGTATGCTCAGGCTAAAAAGCCTATTTTCAATGTCATTTCAATTTTTAAGTTCGGGTGGTATTTCTGGTAGCAATAATCTATTTATTTTGGCCATTATTAGGAGTTTACCTCCCTTCAAGGCTCAATCACAAGTATGGCAAACCCATTGAGTACCATTTGTACATACATACATGACTGAAAAAACTCTGTGTAGCATTTCAGGGTCAACTTTGCTATATTTGTCTTCGCAAAATAATTTTGATACACACTATGATAGTACATCATACGATGGCATACTGTACACACAGTCTGGACCAAATCTAATTTTTTTTAAAAAGATGCTATAGTGTCATCTAAAGAAATTGTTTTACTTCTATTGGACCTGTGACTAGCAGCATTGAGTGCTTTTCTAACTTGTGATTGCTCTGGAGTTTCATCTTTTCTAACAATGCACATATTCTGCTTGTTTAACTGCTTTCTGTGTGCAGCAGCTTCTGAAGTTTTATGTCCTTTTTGTTAACACTTTTTTTGCCGATTTTTGTCATTCCTTGCTATTGTTGCATCAGCAGACTCATTCGCTCTTGAATGAGACATGTGAAGTATATTCTCTTTATTTCGAAGAGTTGTTTGATCAATTGATTCATTACTTCTACAATTAGCCATATTTATCTTGTTTTTATCATTTCTTAAAGCTTTTTCATGAATTAATGCATCAGCCCTAATATCTGCCATTCGCTTCTTCCATTGTTGTTTTTTGGCTTCCTTAATTTCTTTTTCTTTTAATATAGTCATACGTTCTTGACAATTTAAAGGTTTTATACCTTTCTTATCCTTGAAATTATGCCCACATTTATTACAAATCAATGTATTTATTCTACATGTTTCAAAGCAGTGGGGACATTTCATTGTTAGTTGTATAGGAATGCTACCTTTTTTATCATGTTTAAAACAATGACCACAGTGGTCACAATTTAATTTGCTGCGAATGTGATTCAATTGTGAACATAGTGGACATTTTTTTGTAAGGGGCCCAGGGTTAGCCTCTATGTCTCCTCCCAATAATAATAAATTTAAAGTAACAAACAAAATCAAAGAATGCATACAATATCGAAGCACACAGTAATATACGCTTTTGCCAGCTACATAAGAAGCTTTAGTAGTACAACTAACATGGAAAGAACCCACAAAGCAGCCTATAGCAACTCTGTATTGCAGTTTAAGAAGAGTAACAAATGTAGCTTATACTAAGGGGAG